TGTGTTCACATCATGCCTGACTACACCGATAAGAATGGCGCTGCATTGGTTAGTATATCATCTGCTTAGCAGAGGGTTCCCATTGTTAACTTTATGTTCAGGCTTCCATATGTGTAGAATCATATTAAATTGAATTAAAAAGAATGATATGGTGTTAACCTTCTGGTTAGGTTCCCAGACTCTTAATTCTGGATGATTTAGATCATCTCAGGAAGGATCAAGATCTGGATTGCTTAGTGACAATGATGACAAGGAACACTCATCATTTTGTAGTACAAATTTAGATTGATTTTTAGGATGCTTGTAAAGGTAAAAATAAGAATGATTTTGGTATTTCGTCTACTCCTGCCTTTTATGAAGCAGTAAAATGGCAACTTCACATTCATGTTCCCACCACTGATTCAATATCAATCTATTTATGCATTAAAAAATATTTTTTTGTGGCTTTTCGAAATGTGGTGAACTCCCTTTATTTACATCTTGCTTTGAAATGGCTAAAAATTCATTATATAAGTTCTAATTAGTAAATGCTTTTAAATTATCATAGTTGATGGCCTAGTGGAGGAGATTGAAAATTCATTCAGATTTTGTCAAATCATTAATATCCGAGTTAATTCTTTTAGAAATTAATTATGAAACGCTTTCTTTTGGAAATCACTGGCCAACACAAATTTTTTTTAGGTTGGTAGCAATGTTACTCATTTTGGAGAAGCATGATGTCTGATATGTGCAAGCATCTACTTTTACCTCCATTGCCCGTCTTTTTTGATACTAAGTTGTTGGATCAATTACTTAAAAAATGGATTGTAATTTCCAAATTTTTAGGCGTTTGTGCTTTGTAAAGTTCTCAGGCTGATAGCTGTGACTGAATACTTTTTTAACTGAATTATTTTTATCAATTTGAGATCACACAATGATCCTTTTTTCAATTTTCTTAGGTTGTAATAGTTTTGGGCTGGTTTTAGACAATCATTTTCTTGTTAAAAACCCTTCGCATTTACTTGTGTAATTATATGTTTGTTCATATTTATGCATGTAAATTTAGGGCCCGTTTGGGGCAGCTTATTTAGGTGCCAAAATGCCGCCGCTGTGTTTGGATTGGCGTTCGGGCGGCTTAACTATACCAGCGCACTGCGTCCCGCTTCGAGTAATTCTTTAAGGTCTTCGACGCAGCTCTCGACCCGCGTCTCAGTGTTCGGCCGCAAGATTTGCCCTAGATACCCCTGAGCTCCCTCGCGCTCTCTCTCTCCCTGATCGGTGCCTGCGATCGAATTTCTTCTGACCCTATAGGAGATCGACCCGTATTCCTTTTGATTGTTCTGTCTGATCGTAAGGTATGTTTTATCTCACTGTCATTCGTAGAGGGATCGATAGTCGCTGGCCGTGAACGGTCGAACATCGCTGTGCTTTGTTTTTTTTTTCTTTCCTTCACGGAAGAGCAAGGGATTCGTTACAGAAATTCGGTTTCGATTTTTTCTGTTTCTTTAAGCCAACTCCTGAATATTGGTTTCGATTTTTTCGTTCCAGAAATTTTAGTTTCGATTTTTTTTGGGCTTTAGAACTTTCTATGAGAGGAATCCATGCAAGCTAAGCGTGAAGAAAAGTGTGGAGAATGCAAATACGAATTTTGGTTTTCATTTCTTCGTTCCAAAAAGGTTTCAGTTTCAAGGTTTCAGTTTCTCTGTTTCAATTTTTTCTGGGCTCTAGATCTTTCTATGAGATGAATCCATGCTCTTATCTATAGTTTTATGTTAAAAATGCCAATGGTTATAGCATTGGACAATGTTATAGCATTAGAGCAATGTTAAGAGTGACAATGTTTATGACCTACAATTATTTCCTTTCTATAGGAAACATATGTATGAGATTGATTTATTAGAACTTCGTGAGTTAAGTACATACAATTTGACATTATTTATGTATCTAGGTAGCAATATTGCTCTTGATTGGAATGAAACATTACAACATGTTCCATTCATCTTTACTCAAAATCTTGTTTTCTGTCAGTGGAGTTTCGGTATCATTTATAACTTTGATGGCTGTATCTAGAGGTATAAAATTTATTTTGGTGCTAAAGGCTTTCACCAATGGTTGGGAGATGAATGTTACTGGTGTTAAGCAGAGCTGCGAACTGTTGTTGGGTTTTTCGGTTTTTTTTGTGATCCATTCACCATTCAGTTTTTTGCAAATATGGTATGATCCATTCACATTTCGGAATTTGGTATGTGTTCCATTCGGTTTTTAGCAAATATCAAAATGGAGGAAGAATGAAAACATGTTCCATTTTTTATTTTTTTTTCTAAAGACTTCTATTATCACAAAAGGTAGAAATGGTAGGGTGAATTGCAAGTTGTATTGTTCTCCCTTAAGATGATTTTATGTAATCTGATATAATTGCATAATAAAGACTTTTCGATGTCTTACTGTGGATGTAGGTCATTGACCGAACCACATAATTCATTTGTGTTCTTATATATATCTGTTTTTTTAGCAAATAGCCAGACTGTTTTATGTATTGGTAGCAAATTCATTGAATGGTTCTTTGTACATGATCGAACCTCGTTTTAGATTAGACTTTTAAATGACATTCTATTTTTAGCACACATGACAAGGGTAGAAGCATGAAAACATGTTGTTTAACAGTTCTATTTAGATTCAAAATAAAAAAGTGTTTATTATCATTTGATTATTATCCAAGGGTATTTCAGCTCGTTGGGGTTTCTTCCGGTGGGCTGATAGTCCCACATATTACACTGCTAGCACTCATGCCAGCAGTCATGGGAATCTGATGTTTTCTCACGTTGACAGTGCAGATGAGGAAAGACGTAGCCAGAGTCTGAAATTAAATATTTTAATATTTCTCATTGTTGTTGTACTTGTATTTGTACTTTTTTAGTTCTCCTGGTACTCATGAGGGTGTGAGAACTGCATGCCATATTTTAGAACTGCTCTGTAATGATCATATGTTTCTGCATTATATGTTTCTGTTCTGCCAATAAACTATTCTGAATAAGTTGCCCAAACAATTTTTTCAGACAGGGGCAGAAATGTCATTTAACCACTAATAAACTATTCTGAATAAGCTGTCCCAAACAGCAAGATAGATTATTCTGATAATCTGCAGATTATCAGATTATCCTGTTAATCTGCAGATTATCAGAATAATATGCTTATCAGCAGATTATAAATAATCAACAACTGCGTCAAACAGACCCTTTGTTATAAATCAATCTTATTTTCATAATTTAAGAATGAAGTGGAGAGATGATGCAGGTGTATGGGGGTGAAGCAGGATTACCATGAAGATATTTAGTAGAGAAACTGAGTATACTGATGCTGACATCAAATGCAATTTTGACATTAGAATGAATTGTAATGGAAAATTTTATGAGATTGTGGTGACGCTTGCAATGTTTTATGGCGTAGAATGTTGGTCTTTAAAAGAGAAATATAAAACAAAGTTAAGTGTTACTAAGATGAGAATTCTTAGGTGGATAAGTAGTGTGACACTTAGAAACAAAATGCGAAAGAAATTTATCCGTGAAAAGGCTGGTGTAGCTCCAGTTGCAGACAAGATTAGAGACAGTTGTCTTGGATGGTTTGGTCACATTAAACGTCGATCATCTGATGATCCGGTTAGGAGAAATTCAACTTATGTTAAGAAAGACATGGGTAGGCCTAAAAAAACTTAGGCATATTTAAAAAAAATAATCCTAAAATATGACATGCAATGAGACAATTTTGAAAATAGATTTTCATGTAGCCGACCCCAGCTAATGGCATACTTGTTGTTCTTGCAAGGAATTGTAAAGGAAAGCAAGTTATTTTGGATGACAATGATATGATGGCTATGGGGAACTCCTGGATACTAGGATAAGGTGGTGAGCAGCCATGTGTGCCACCGACGACTGTTACCATTATGATGACAGCAATTATGAATTCAAGATTGTTCTCAGTCATTTGCTATTATGTTGCTTAAATTGTAAATCTCAAATTCAGAAAGTATAATATTTCTGTATAAAATACTAGTTAGAAACATTCAATTAGGCTTTTGTGTATTTTTTATTATTTGTTGTCTTAGTTGACTGCCTCTGTTTATTCATTCAGGGATTTTTGTGATTTGTCTGCTAACAAGTAATTCTTTCTTGTTCTGTGTGTAATTGGCAATTCTATAGTGTTTCTATAAAGTTCAACTTTGTCTTTTTATATGGTTTAGTTAGGTGGCTTGTTGTATTCCAGCGTCTCCTTAGTGAATAAACAAAGCTGCTGAAGCAATTTGATTTCAGTCTTATTTGATGACACAGCTTACGAGCCATTTTTGGAGGTGCTAAAACTTTGACTGGTTTATAGGAATAGAAAAACAACAATGCAGAGAACTGTACTTTTCCAGAAAAACTAAAAAAGGGACTGCGTAGCAAGTAAATACAAGGAAAAAGGAAAAAAGAAGCACAAAGGTTACCGCTACATGACAAACAATAAAGAAAAAATATTGGGTTAGCCGGATATGCACTTTCACCTATTCTTATTCCATTAAATTTGGTAATATTAAGATTTTCAGTTGGAATTGTATAAATGAAGTACATGCGAAAATGCTGTGCAAATGCATGTCATTTTACACCTATCATATGAATGAGAAATTAGCATGGCAAATTGAAAATTTAATTACTCTTAAAATGTTTGCTGTAAATAGAAACTTGGAGGATGTGTAAATCAACTATTTTTCTAGTATTGCACGCCCCAGTTGCCTGCTCTCATGGTTTTTTTGCAAGTATGGTAGAAATTACCGGAACATTTAATGAATGCAATCGAATTAAACAACTAGTAAATATGAACTAAGGAATGTAATTAACAAAGTCGTAAATACTGCTGCAGAATATGTGAAGAAAGAAAAACTTGCATAGAATCATATTAAGTTGAATGAAAAATATTAATGTGGCGTTAACCTTATCAGGTTCCCATATGCTTAGAATCATATTAAGGTTAATGAAAGAGAATGACAAGTCTTCTGTTTAGACTCCTATACTCTTAATTCTGGCCAATCAGATTGTCTCAGGAGGGTTCACTATCTGGAAAGCTTAGTGACAATGATGAAAAGAACAATAATCATTTCGTGGTACAAATTTTGTTTGATTTTTAGGATGCTGATAAAGGAAAAATATGGGAACGCTTTTTGTATTGGTCCACTCCTGCCTTTTATGAAGCAGTAAGATAGTGAATTCACATTTATGTTGTCTGAGTCAATATCAATCTATATATTTTATACTTCAAAATTAGTTTATTCTTTGTGGC